CGTTTCCCTGGTGTGAAGACTTTCACTTCTCCTTTGACGACATCTTCACCAGACTTAGAGTCATCTACAGAAAGAAAACGAGAGGAACAGCAACAGACCGAGTTGTCACGATGTCTGAAATCTTCAATCAGCACGAAGAATGTGAGGAACCAAGAGTAGTGCTAATTGAAGGGATACCTGGTACGGGAAAGACAACTTAAAAAAAGTTGTTTTCGACTGGACCACAAGAAAACACGCAACTGGAAATTGCTTCACGAAATTTGTAATAGTGCTTTTGATCAAATGCCGTGATGTTCAGTCTGACCTTTGGGAGGCTATTGAAGATCAACTTCTGCCTCGAGAAGTTGGTGAAGACCAACGAGAGAGATTCTTCGACTTCATTCGCCATAATCAATCTAATGTTCTTCTGATACTCGATGGACTAGATGAAGTTTCTGAGAAGAAGCTACCTATGTTTTCAGAAATTATTCAAGGCCGTGTACTGCCAAACTGTCGCGTGATTGCTACGGCATGACACGAAGCTGGAGTCAAAGTTCGAAAGTACTGCGGCACGCTGTTAGAGGTCGAGGGATTTACTGAAAAAGATGTTGAAACCTTCATCAGAAATTACTTTAGAGCCAGACCAAAATTGGCCGAGCAGCTTATCAAACACCTGTATGATGACGACAACTTATATGAAATATTGACGAATCCTCTCAACACTGCGCTTCTTTGCCTGGTCTATGAAGATTTGAACGGTGTTTTTCCTGAAAGTAGAACGAAGCTGTACATGGAAATAGTTGAGTGTGTATTGAGAAGGTACAGAACAAAGCAACAACTACCGGAAAACGGCGAAGACCTTGTGGACCTTTACGAGAGTCAATTGAAACACCTTGGTTCGATAGCTTTGAAGGGTTTACTTGAAGACAACTTGGATTTTGACGAGATGGAGCTCGGAAAACACGAAGCGAGCAATTTACCTGGATTGGGATTTCTGTCAGTTCAGCCTGGAGGCAGTAAGCTAAGACCAACTAGACGTTATGGCTTTCTTCACAAGACTTTCCAAGAATTCTTCGCAGCGTTCTATCTCAGTTGTCAGCTTATCAAGAAAGAAATCACCACGAACAGCATAGCTGCTAACATAAAATATCGCCATCAGCTGAAAGAAGTACTTCTGTTTACATTTGGTATGATTGCAGCACGATGCGAGGAAACAGTGGTGAACCTTCTGAAAAGTATAGCAGCACAGGTAAACCAGGAAGAAGAGGAAGACGTAACTATTATATTGGAGTGTGTTAATGAATGCAAAAAGGAGAACAAAATTGTTGATGAAAAATTGGCTTCTGCTCTTGGCGCTTCCCTCCAAATTGATACTGTTGCTATTTCAAGAGTTAAAGTAGATGAAACTTTAGCTGTCTTTTTAAGCAACTTTCTTAAAACAAATACAACTGTGACAACGTTTACATCGACTGACTCTTCGAAAGATGGGGCTAAGTCTCTGGCTGAGTGTTTGAAATATAATACATCGCTGACAACGTTAGATTTGAGACTCAATAATATTGGTGATGATGGTGCCGCTGCTCTGGCTGAGTGTTTGAAACATAATACATCGCTGACAACGTTGTATTTGCATGGTAATGGAATTGGTGATGATGGTGTTGCTGCTCTTGCTGAGTGTTTGAAATATAATAAATCGCTGACAACGTTGGATTTTTGTGGTAATGTAATTGGTGATGCTGGTGCTGTTGCTCTGGGTGAGTGTTTGAAAGATAATACATCGCTGACAACGTTGTATTTGTATGGTAATGGAATTGGTGATGATGGTGCTGTTGCTCTGGCTAAGTGTTTGAGAGAGAATACATCTCTGACAACGTTGAATTTGTTTTGTAATAAAATTGGTGATGCTGGCAAAGATGCTCTAGTTGTCGCGCAGAAGTGTCATCCATCTCTGAGAATACTCTTGGGTTGAATGGAATCCTCTCAGAACATGGATACCTTGCCCTAGGACCAACTTTGAGAAGCGGTTACGTCAGGATTAAGCAACTATTATTGACTCTGACCTTGAACAGGGTAAATGTACACTAGCTTCTATTTGTCGATATCAGTTTTAATACAAGACTTATGTAGCATCTGTTTGCTAAGATCATTTACTTTTGTTAGAGTTTTCATAAAAGCTGGCACGTTTATAGTCAGGAGACCGTTCCCCTTTATCACAATCTTATCTATTCAGCCTTTACTCTGTCACGTTTGATGCATGAAGCTGTTAAATGGAACTATGCTTCATCTGTAACGCGCATGCGTGTAAACCAACAGATTATCCGCGCGAGGTTAAGTTGGAAACATTAGACTGCCTCGGATTTTGTTGTAATTGGAAATGGGATGCAATATTTTTTTTGTCTTAAGCAATATTTCTTTATTTTGAGAGGGACTGCCATTATTGGTTAAAGTGTAGAGTAATTATTTCTTTAGTGATCATTTAATTGTTTCTCATAAACTTTGCTTGTGATAACGTGATGATACTTTCTAGCCTTGTGAGGAAAAATTTTGAAGTTGATAACTGTTAGGGTGCAAAGAGTTAATTAATTGAGTTATTGCCATGTTGTATGGTAAGACTCTTTGTGATGACTATATGAGGCTTTGTTGTAGGCTATAAAGAACAATTTATTTGTCGAAGTGAAATCTCTTTAGAAAAGTTGTCAGAATATAATTTTGAATTTTGTAGGGGTAAGTTTACGTGAAAAGATTGATGTATTTCTTAAGATTTAACTGATATAAATAAAGGTATTTTCAGTAGAATTTCAGTTTTTCTTCTCTTTTTTTCTTTGTGTTTAAATTTTTTGCATTCTTCCAGAAAGTCCGATTACGATGCTCCTTAGCCTGCTGCTTCCTTTCTTGCAACGAAAAAAAATCTTTGTTTACAGCCTTCACTCCCGCACATATGCGGCAGTGAATTCCACAAGTTTTCTTTTGTCAGAAAAGCACAGGATTATTTTCGTCCGCTTCCGATCGATTCAGTCGCCAATGCTCAGTTTAGATAGGATAATTGAATTTAATCACAGTTCATGTTTGACATCAGATGATAAACAAGCGAAGCGATTCTCAGTAGTAGGTTTGTGCCTGAACTCAATAACATTTTTTTCACTCGCACGGTTACAGCTGAAGCAACGATGCTTAATAGGTAACAAAGCCCTCCTGACGTCATGCGCGGTTACTACTCCAATGTGGTTTCGTGCTTGAGCGTGTTTGGGACGACTAATTACCAGTGTCTACATCTTAGTGAGTGAGTGACTCATTCGCATATCTGAGTCCTCATAAAAATTCGTTTGCACGAGTTAAAAATGAGAAAGGAAAGAAAAGAGAGAGAAAAGACATTGACCATATCAACTGGTCACCCAGGTGTTAAAACTTTCCCCACCCTTCCCCTCTCCAGCTGTTTATTTCTTAGAGAGAGGTAGGAGAGGGAAAAGTAAGAAAAAAGGATGAGGGAAGAGTGAATTAAAACCCGGCTCTGTACCACAGGTTTACCAGCCATTAAACAATATGAAACGAAAGGAGGAAAAATTGATGGAAGAGATATAAAGTACTTTTTTACGTTTTCTGGTTGATAGCTGTATTTAAAATTTTAAATCATCGACTTTAGCGCCCAGCGACTTCTCCTTGGCCATTTTTTGCGCATTGAAAATACGATTTGGCGGCAAAAAAAGTGTCCCCATTAAGCGCGCGACCAAAACTATCTTGTTACATAGCTGTGACATAGAAAAATGTGAAGAAACTTTGGTGGAGAGAGGAGAAATCAAGAAGAGAGGGCGAACGTATTGCGTGGCTAGAGAGCCAAATGATATTAAATACGAGAATGATAGACATACACCGGGTATTTCTATACACTACTTTCCAAAGGATGTAGCTGTATGGCCAAAATAGACGCGTTTCGATCGTCGCCATAGAGGAGATTTTGCTCTTCAAAGTCGTTGGCCTTATGCTCCATCTTGACTTCGAAGACGGCTATTACGAACACACACCACTAGTCAAATCAGGGGAACTTGGATTGCCAAATTGCCAATGAATTCAGCTAGAAAGAATGCTGATTAAGGAGCCTATTCCCACATCGGACAAGATTAATCTACAATCTTTTAGGCTGACTTTTCGTGGGCGAAGAATAGTGAGCATTGTGATGATGTAGTAACGGGAGTTTTTGTTCTAATCTTGACCTTAATACCGCAGGCGAGAAACCGTTTTGTCCCTTTGTGAGTCTTTGTCGAAATCTTCGTTTCATGCTCTTTCAAAGGGCTGAACCGTACTCGCAACCTTCATTTCCCTTTACTATTTGAGTAAGAGCTTGCTGAAGGTAGGTATACATCGCTATGGGAAATTACTTCAAGAGTTTTTCAAAGCTGACTAATACAAAATTACAAGAAATGTGAGAGATTCGTAAGTGAAAACTGAAAATTTTCACAGTTTTCTATGTCATCGCCTAAAAACTAGTTACCAGTCTACGGGACACTTTTAGGACAAAATAAGGGCACTTTTGGGTCCGAAAAAACGAACAAGTTTTCTTTTGTTAAAAAAAATTTTTGTTCCGTCGGAATTGGTTTGAATATATAACATCTAAATAAATACGCAAAAAAAAATTTCCTCTCGTAGGCACTTTAAGAAGAGAAGAAACACCCAGCTTAAGTTAAGCATGTCTAAAAAGCTATCCATGTATAATAAAACAAAGATCGTGAATTAATCGAAAAGGGCAGAAGGGGGAGTTCTTCTCTAAATTTTCCGCACGCTCCTTACGCCCTACCTCCCCCCCTCTTCTTCTCTTCCCCATCATGCAATCAGGAGGGGAGGTCAGTTTTAGAAAGAGGGGTTCAAAATTCTCCCTACCTCTCTCCCTACCTCTCTCCTACCGTCATGTACGTCAAGCCTTCATGTACCCTTGAGGGAAGTGAAGTTTACAAAGGGAGGTGCCCATTCTCCTTCCGACGTACCCCTCCCCGTTCCCCTCCTCCACACGCACGCACACACACACACGCGCATGCGCCAAACCCCTGATACACCCTTGAGTGGAAGTCAAGTTTACAGAATGGGGTATACATGTTATCATCCCGCGCATGACTCGAGGTGGTTGAATTTGTAGCGGGGGCAAGTTTCTTAAGAAACTATGGTACTGCGTCGGTGGGGGGCATAATATAGTTTGGTTTAATTAACTGAATGAAAACATTAATTGGCCACTGTAAAAAGTTTCTAAAGATAACGTTTCGAGCGTTAGCACCAGAGAGCTATCATTTGAAATGCTAGCTTTCGAAACTCCTTACGGTGGCCAAGTTATATTGTATAAATTCGGTTGATAAAACCAAATCAAATTAAATTTGCTTTCGAGTCACTTGCGCGTAGGAAAACATGTTCAAACACACGTTTCTAGGGAAGAAAAGAAGAAGGGAAGAATCACCCAATAATGTACAACGCGTTCCACTGCTTGCCATCGTTACATAGTAAAATCCAAAAATAGGAAGACTTCCACATAGGAATAACTAAAGTTCCTACAGCCTTACA